CATCACTATTTACATCACTACCTATATTATCCCCTAAAGCTTTAACACTTAAAGCATCCCCACCATATTATCACCTATACCACCATCACCCAAAGCATCACCACCTATATTATCACCTAAAGCTTTAACGACTAAACCATCCCCTCATGCATTATCACCCAAACCACCATAACCTAAAGCATCACCACTTATATTATCACCTAAAAATCTAACACATAAACCATCCACTCCTACATTATCACCGAAACCACCATCACCTAAAGCATCACCACTAGCATTATCACCCCAACTACCATCACCCAAAGTGTCACCACCTACATTATCACCTAAGGCATCATCACCACCTACATTATCACCTAAGGCATCATCACCACCTTTTTCTTGAGTTAAGGCTCCATTTCCTTTGACATCCTTATCTCGCCTCCATAAAGAATCTATAGACCCTTTTTGATATATAATACCTAACATCTATATAAACATCACACCCTCATCTATAATAAAACCTCCCTCACTTAAATTTAAATCTAGCTATTTAAACAACATAACCCTAGTGTCTTATATCTAGCTTTAACAACATCATCATATAGATCTCTTAAATTCATAAAATCAAGGTCTTCTAACTACTTGATCGATACAATCCTTACCTCCCCAACATAAGAAATGTGACTCATGCTATTAAAAACTCCACCAATATGAAAATTAATATTAAAACGATTTTCCATCCTATGAATAGGAACACCTACCGAAAGATAAATAGATTTAGGTTATGTAATTTGAAGGGTTAAAGGTACAAGAGTAAGGGTTTTTTTTTTTATTTTCTTTAAATTTCATCTCAAGAGGTTTGGGATTTTGAATTTTAGAGATTAAAGACAGAGATAGGTTTTTCTTTTCACTTGTAGAACCGTAGCAATTGCTTCACGACAAAAGGAGAGAATAGGGTTGAAAAGTCCGTAGGTCTAGGGGATGAGAAGAAAAGAGTAAACGAAGAAAGAAGAAGGGAGTATGAAAATTAATCTTAAAACGATTTGCCATCCTATGAATAGAAACACCAACCAACGGATAAATAGATTTAGGTTATGTAATTTGAAGGGTTGAATGCACAAGAGTAAGGGTTTTTTTGGTATTTTCATGAAGGTTCATCTCAAGAGGTTTGAGATTTTGAATTTTAGAGATTAAAGATAGAGAGAGGTTTGGCTTTTCACTTGTAAAACTATAGTAATTGCTTCATGAAAAAGGAGAGAATGGGGTTGAAGGGTATGTGGGTTTGGGAGATGAGAAGAAAGGAGTAAACAAAGAAAGAAGAAAGGAGTATCCGTGGGTTCGATTTTAGACGGAAGGAAGAGAAGGAAAAAGAGAAAAAATGAAGAATCTATGGGTTTGATTTTAGGAAAAAGGAAGAAGAAGACAAAGGAGAAAGAAAGAATGAGAAGACGAAGGTGTTAATGTAGATGCCCAAGATTCAACTATGTTTGGATAGGTTTGAGTTATTGTATTATTGTATCATTTATTTTAAATAAGTTTTTCTTGATTGTTGTTTGTGTTTTACATGTTTCATTTTTATTTTTATTTACTTACAAACTTACTATGTAACGCCCCTACCCCAGTCATATTTCTACTACCCAAGTAGGGTACGGGACGAAGCGCATTATGCCGACATATCCTAAACTCTAAGTAGTTTTCTTATGATATTCTTAAAACTTTAATAGTACATTACGTATATAACTCCTTAAGATAAAATTTACATAACATAATTAAATACATTAATAAAACATTACGAGCAATATTCAATTTCTCACGAACTCCATACCCCAAATTTACGAGACAAAATAAAAACTAATATATGATGCCTCACATGAGCCGATTAGGAGGAGCCAGCCGCATCCGTACCAACTTGTCCTTTTCTCGTCAAGACATAAAAAAGATAACAACGGGGTGAGCTGAAGCTCGGTAAGCGGGGTGATGCATGTGATATGCAATGTTGTTTTGACTTCCCACCATACTCATAAATTTTAATCTCGGTACCACAGGTATTAGCTAGTCTACTCTATTTATCATCCGGGTAGTCCGCGGATCACCTTCTGCTACAACGGAATTATCCCTCGATGTAACTACCGTTAGCGAGAATCCATCGTCTAACGAGTGCAAGCACACGACTTGATTTCATCCGGATGATCCTCGGATCATCTTCCGCTACAACGAAATTATCCCTTGTTGTAACTACTATTAGCGGAAATCCATCGTTTAATAGTGCGAGCATACGACTTAGAGTACTTGGACTACTAATACCCATTTATTCCAGTTAGGTTATCAAACCTAGATGTACAAACCATTTCTCAATCAATTGACTTGTCTTAAACCACCCACTATGCACATAATGCACGTGATGACATATTTAATCACATTCAATCAAATTCGGGTACCAACCCTTCATTCTCATGCCATACTCATGGTTCAACCCACACTCAAAATTTATCCATTGCTCACATATCAATCATGATACCCACAAGCAGAACACAATCTCTCGCTCATTAATATTGTTCATTAGTTTCATTAATATTTAAAAGAAGGTCCAAGTCCATTTACTTTAATCCGAGCCCATTAAATTTATCCTAGGTCCATTGACTCTATTTAATTCTATTTTATTTAGTTCAAGCTCATTTAGTTTATTCCAAACCTATTAATTTTGTCCAAGTCTAATTTTGTTTTGGTTTTAGGATTTATTATCGGGCAACTCCTAATCGAGTAAATACTTTTCCAATTTCAAAACATAATTAAATCTTAACCATTTTATTTTAGATACTAGACATATTTATTTATAACATATCCAAAAATGAGGTCTAAATAACAAGTACACAATTAATTAAAAAATTTTGAAACTTAGGGAGCAATCTGCCTAGTAGTAGTTTGTCTAGAGCTATCTATACTAAATCGAATATAACTCTTTGTACACAAATCCAATGACCAAGAAATTTTAAAGGGAGTTATTTGAAACATATATGAAAAACTTTTATTCTTTAAGTTTCACCCAGAAATCGACCTAAAATCCTTGAACATGTAACCTAAAATTCAGATAGAATTTACTTCTTATCAACACTAATTTATTAGTTCATTCCAAGCCAACTTTAAACATGTTTTAGTTCACTTAAATTTAGTCCAAGTTCAATCCAACCCATCACCACATACTTGGATATTTTTCAAAAAATCATAACATCATAAATCATCACAACAAGGCATCCATACATAGATTTATCCCAAGCATCAAGCATATAACCATTGAAAATGATTACAACCCATGAAATAAACACTAACAAAATAACTTTAAAAAAAAATTTAAGACATTAATCAGCCAAAAAAATGAAACCTACTTATCTCTTTTAGGTTTGATTAGAATTTCCTTAGCTCTTTTCCTTTCCTTTTTCCCTTTCTCTTTCTCTTTTCTTTCTTTCTCTCCTTTTGTTGTTTTTCTCTCTTCAATTTGGCTTCTCTTTTAATTATGGATGGCTACGGTTTTTGGCCTAAAAATGGCAGCCATTTAACCCTCTCTTTCCCTTATATACTCACCTTTTATTCTCTCATTTATTTATATCATAAGTGTTAAAATTTAACTATGCCAAATGTAAAGTGGAGGAAGCTTTGAAGGCAAAGTCGGCATGTTTTGGAAGTCAAAGGTGATGATTTGGCTTCCAAGCATTTAATTCAAGTGCTTAGGTGGCTAAAGAAAACTAAGGCTAAGTAAACACATTAATAAGCTGGGTTCATGAAATTATACATAATTTCTTTCATAAAAAATTCTGAAATTTCCATTTTTAAAATTCGAAATTTCTTTTTTCCTAAAATTTCGATATTGTTACCTCATAACTCATCTATACTAAAATGTGCATAACTCTTTCTATATGTATCCAAATATTATGAAATTTTATAGAGAGCTATTAAACACATAGAAAAAAAACTTTTATTCTTTAAGTTTTGCTCAAAAATCAATCTAACAGCATCAAATAAATCTCACAAGATTCGAGCGATTCTTCTCCCAAAATTCCAGCAGAATGCATTTCGAAACAACCCTCACTATAATTGGTATAAATCTTAATGTATAGGTCCAAATATTATAAACGTTTATACAGGCCTATTCAACACATAGATGAACAACTTTCATTCTTTAAGGTTAACCCAAAAATTACCCTAAAGTCCTCAAATAATTCATACAAAACTCGGGCGTAATATAGTCCTTAAAACACCGATTTTGCATATTTGATTTCTTTAATAATTAAACCATTAATCTTAAGCACAATAACTTTAATTTAACATAAATCACATATTTCAAGCATTAATTTCTTATGATAAAATGAGAATTATACTTACTCTTAATATACATATATATATAGAATTATACTAATACACGTCGCATTACGGATAAGGGTTTTTATCGGGGTTACATACTATGCAAAGCCAAAGAAAAATGTTTTTCAATAACTTTGCATCGTACACATTGTAAATAAGAGGTAATCGTTAGCACCCAATTTCCATCCAAAGTAATTAAATTAATATATATATTTAAAAGAAAATTGAAAAAAGAAAAGAGAGGAAGAGAATTATTTTTTAAAAAAATAATTTGGGGGTGCAATTAAAAAATCCGAAGTGTGGGGATCATAGAAAACTCAATTGAGGATGCAAAAACCCTAGATCCTTAATTAAAATAAATGAAGGGCATAATTGAAAAAAAAATTAAAAGAAAAGCTCTAAATTAATTACAATTTAAGAGTGCAATTGAAATTTAAACAATCAGAATCGTATTTAAATTGATAAATTAAGGAGAATTAGGGACCAAGATTGACTTTTGCCTAAAAATCTCAAATTCACCAATAATTACCCTCTGTTGCTTTTTTTTTTTTTTTTGATATGGTACATAATGCATTCATCTCTCTTGAAAAAACTCATCCAGTCGTTCCACCTTCTCCTTACAGTAATAGAACGAGTGCCCACGTCTCCCTCGCCTAAACCACTCACACCATCATCTCCCTAACCTGAAACACCCACACCATCCTCTCCCTCACCTGAACAGCCCCATGCCACCATTCTTCATGCCTGGAATAGCTCCACACCATCACCAATCAGCCAACATCTCCTTCTATTCTAGCCCATCATCGCTAGCAGCTTCCATCCATCTCTTCCTATATTCTAGCCAATCACCGCCAAAGCATCCATCATTTTCCTTCTTCTCAACTATGCCATTCTAGCCCTCTCAAAAACTACAAGCATCCCATCAGCGTTCTCCTCTCTACTTGTTAAAACTCCTACACCAGCCCCCTCTTAAGACCTACGAGCAACAACCACAAATCTCATCCCTTTCCCCCTGACCAGGACAACCACCTTTACAAACCTAACTCGCACCAACTATTGCCATAAAAAACATAAACCCACATACAACCGTGACCCTCATCATCTTTCCTCTCCTAACCTCTACTCGTGACACTCATCAACCATACCGGCAGCATAATCCAACTGAACCAACCTTGAGCCACTGCCATACCAGCCTCCTAACCTAGCCGAATCAGCCCCATCTTCCAAAACCATAGAAGCTAGATAAGCACTGTCCAAAGCCACTCACCACCCAAACTGAGAGATCACACTAGTAACCCCCACAACTAGCAGCAACCTCTATGCAAAAATCCCTCATAGTAAATGAGTTATGAAGCCTTTTCTAACTAATTTTAAATGAGGTGATTTAAAGAGGGAAAGAAAATTCAATCTCTCACCTAAGTTGTTATTGGGCTATTAAAGTTCAATTAGAAAGATGGAGTTTAGAGCTTAAAACTCTTTTACAAATTAAATAGTCAAAAAACAAATATAAAATATAAAATAAAATAAATTTAGACCTTTTATCCAAATTTACTTTCCAAACTATAGAAATAATAATTACAAGTTTAGAGATCGTGACTAGAAAATCCAAATAAGACATCAATCTTAAGTAATATCATCTTGCCACACCATATGAAAAAAAATTATGATATTAGACCCTAAGATCCAATTTCATATTATAACTTGATCTCCAAAAAGAAGAGGTAAAGGCACCAACATCAATAAAAATAAAAATAAAAACACCCTAAATAAAGAGATAAAAATAAGAAAATTATCCATCATTAAATGAGTTATGAAGCCTTTTCTAAATAATTTTAAATGAGATGGTTTGAAGACCAAAAAAAATTCAATCTCTTACCTAAGTTGTTATTGGGCTACTAGAGTTCAATTAGAAAGATGGAGATTAGAGTTTAAAACTCTTTTGCAGATTAAATAGTCAAAAAACAAACAAAAGATATAAAATAAAATAAATTTAGACCTTTTATCCAAATTCACCTTCCAAACTATAGAAATAATAATTACAAGTTCAAAGATCATGACTAGAAAATCCAAATAAGACATGGATCTTAAGTCGTATCATCTTGCCACACTATGTATAAAAAAATATGATATTAAACCCTAAGATCCAATCTTATATTATAACTTGATATCCAAAAAGAAGAGCTAGAGGCACTAGCACTAATAAAATAAAAATAAAAATAAACACACTCTAAATAAAGAGATAAATTGAGAAAAAAAATCCATCGTTAGAATTAAATCGATCTTAGGTCGTAAAATTACCCATCTAGATTGATTTTAGAATGGCACGACATCATATAATAACATAAAATTACAAAACATAAGCAAATCAAATAGGAAAAAAGACCACGGATCGTATAGAAGCATCCACGTAAAAATAAAATAGCTAATTGGTAACACAAAATCCTTCACCTATTGATTTATATTAGCTTATTTTAACTTTCTCGTTGAAAAAAAAAAAAAAAGGGTAAGGCTAGTCGGTTACTAGCCTCATACCAATAGTTCCTCATGAGCTTTTGAGCCGAAATAAAATAATAAGATAATGTTATATAGTAATATTTACCTAAATTGATAGATTTAAAATTTAAAATATCAAGTTTTCGGGAAGATGTATCCAAATCAAGTCGTTATTCATTCATATATGGCATAAATTAAGTTTGAGCCAAATTCACTATATTAGTGGAAATCTAAGACCGTAAATTATAGATTATTCAATTAAGACAAGTCAAATACACTGGAACCCAAATAATTATCTAATTTATGTATCAATCAAGTCAGGATCAATTAATTATTATAAAACACCCAAAGATATCATGCATAATACCAAACATGGATGAAAATTAACCCAAAAATCAAAAGATCCGAGGCTCACATAACTTAATTGGCATTTGAGGAATCAAAATGTGGAAGGGACCGAATTGAACAAACAGAAGTTAAAAAGGTTGTTGCGTCGAGCGCGTGTAGCGAAGTGTGCGATGTCTACTCATGGCGCATGGCATGGCATTCGATTTTAGAATTGAGGCGGATATTCGGTGCTGGCTTTGTCTTCCCCAACCTATCTCGGTGAGTTTTTTTTTTTTTTTTTTTTGCCTAAGTTACTTTTGCATTTTATTTGCTAGAATAGTAGCGTTTTAAACTTATTTGTAAAAACAAGGCACTTTTTTATTTGTAAAAAACAAGGCTTTTTATTTTTCCCCAACCTATCATGGCGCATGGCATTGCTTTTTTTTTTCTTTTTCTTTTTTTTAACCATGTTTGACTCCATCTGCCAGCAATTCAATTTTCATCTATATCTATCGCCTTTATTTATTAAGACTAACACCAACATCCATTGCTTTTTTCTTCTCGGTTATTTGTCTTCAACACTGGGAAGGTCGACTTTTCTTATCCATCAACAATTAACATTCGTCTTCTCTTTGTATACCCACTTGAACAGCTTCTATGGCTACTAAAATCTCCAATACCTTGCTGTTTTTTCTTTAATCAGTCTTAAATAAAATATAAAAAAAAAAAAAAAAAATTACATTAGCATTGCAATCATTCATGCCAGTGTTTTTACTTCCTTGATCTATATAAGCTAGTCATTCTAGTGCTTTTGCTAATTAAAGTATTTTTCTAAATTCTTTTACTTCTATTTATTTCATTTTGATATATTTAGTTTATTTTGGCCATGGCTAGTGAAAGATAATGTGTTTTACAAAAAAGCTGGGTTTATTTATTTATTTTATTTTGATAGATTTATTTCATTTTGGCTATGGCTAGTAAAGAATAATGTGTTTCCCAAAAAATTTGGGTTGTTTTATTTATTTTATTTTGATAGATTAATTTATTTCTAAATTCTTTTACTTTTATTTATTTTATCTTGCCTTAATTTTTTTTTCAAAGATTTTGTTTTTGTTTTATTGTGTTGCTATAAGAAATAAAGTGTTTATAACATATCTTAGTAAAATATTTGCAAATTATATAACTTTTTTTTGTCATTGATTATTAACTTGATGTACACTATACGAAAATAGACAATTAGTGATGAATTTTAGCAACAAATTTTATTCCGTCTCTAAATAGTTATTAACTAATGACGGACTAGTGAGGAAAGAAAAAGATCATTTTAACGACGGAATAGCGAGGGAATTGTGGCCACAAATGTAATTTCGTCGCTAAATATCGCGGTAAAAAAATACGCTACAATCAATGACGGAATTCCATCGTTGATTTAGTGACGGGAACTAAATTTCATCACTATTTTCATCATTGAGAAAGATATGTCAGCAATCCACTTGCTAGTCTTCGCTAATTAACGATGGAATTTATCCGTTGCTAATTGAAAATAGTTGTGGCATCCGAAGGGATAAAATTATCGATAAATATGAAATTCAAATTACCGACGAACTAAGGTATCCGTCACTAATTAGCGATGGACTGCTCAATTCGTCACTATTTGTGCAAATTTTTCAAACTTTAAAGAGAATGCGAGCACTCACACTAGCGATGAAAACGCATCCATCACTACTAATTAACCCTATAAGTCAATGGTTCTCTTCATCTTCCTCATTCCGCCCTTTTCCTCTCCTCCCCAAATCGGTGTTGCCACCCCCAAATTGATGTTCCCATGCTACCCTACTCCAGCCACTCTCTCCACGACCCAACTAATTCGTTGAGGCGCATCTTTCTCCCCCAAAGTTCGACGCAGTCTCTCCTCTCCCTCTTTGATCTCTTTGCTAATTGTTTCTCTCTATAAATCTTTTTTTTTAATTAAATCAATGTAATTAGTTTTTATGTTAATTTTGCTAATTATTAGTTGGTTAAGTATTTATTTAATTTCGTCATTTATCAGTTTTTTTTAATTATTAGTTGAATGTTGTTAATTTTTAGTATTAGGTTAAATTTTAATTATGTTAATTATTAGTTTAAATTTATTATTTATTTATTTAATTTCATTAATTATTAGATTAATTTTGTTAAGTGTTAGTGTTAGGTTAAATTTTATTTATGTAACTTTTTTTTATGTAATTTAGATAAGGTTGATTAATTGTTATGCTAATTTTTATTAATTGTTAGGTTAAAATTTAGTTACTTAATTGTTAATTTTTATTTTAAATTTTTAATTAATTATTAATTTATTTATGTTAATTATTAGTTGAATTTTGTTAGTTGTTTGTGTTAGGTTAAATTTTAATTATTTAATTTTTTAGGTAATTTAGATAAATTGGTTGATTAATTGTTAAGTTTTTTTATTAATTGGTTGGTTAAATTACTTTTTTAATTTATTATTAATTTGTTATTTTTTTGTTTGAATTAGTTTTTGGGTTAATATTTTTAATTTTTTTTGTTATTATTTTTAAATTTAAATAATATTTAAATTCAAATTAATGTAATTAGTTAGGATAAATTTAATGAAATTGATTTTATTTATGGATAGTTTGAATATAAATGCTAGAAGTAATTATTATAGCTTAATTATTCAAAATAAAGGAAGACAACATAATGATCAACATTCAATCAAACAAAGAATCTATCGTTTTTCTTTCTCTCAATTTATTGAATTTTTTTAAGAAATAAATATGAAAGAAAAATATATATATATATATATTTTTTAACAAAGTAAAGTATAAACCAACATTATAGTTCCTTGTGAATAAAATCAAACAAACATAAACAATCCATCGTTTTTCTTTCTTTAAATTTTTTTTATGTCAACCAATATTGAATTGTTCATTCACATTTTTTGGCGAGATAAAAAATTAAAATCGTTCTTTAATCAGAATCTTATAATTAAATATTTAATTAAAAAAACCTAATTTTAAAATACAAATATTAACTCAATTGAAATAAAGTTAAAATTTAATAAATGTTTTATTTAGGATTAATTTAATTATGTTTAGTTGAAGTTATTGTGAAATTAATTGGGAAAATTTAATAAACATAAATGCTTTTAGCTTCAATGTAGATAAATTTTCATTAATTAATAGAATTTTTAAATAGAATTTATTTAATTTAAAATATAATATTATTTTTTAGAGGTTCTTTTATTATAGAAAATAAAATTTAATGGTAGTGTTTAATTGGTATGATAAAAAAAGACAAGCATAAAAAAAAAAATCAAAGTTCAAGAACGTGATTGAAATAAAGTGAAAATAGGTGTACTAATAGCAAGTTAGGGTAGAACATGTAAAAAAATAAAATAATAAAATAAAATT